TCTTCACCCTTACCATTCGGAAAGGGCAGAGCTATCACCGTAACAACGCAGGCCGGAAATGAAAGTTGGGTGATGTGGTGGCCAGTGGGCAGGGCGGTAGGCTTTGTCGCGAGCGACTCGCGCTTTTTCCATGGATTTTTGAGCCGCGAAGGTGGTGCAAACGCGGAGCTTGTCCTTAATATTGCCATCCTACCGACGATACTCATACACTTTTATGTAGGAATTGCAAGGATTTACAGGGTTGATTCAAACGGTTGGGCAATTTCATTCTAGAGCACGGTTTGACAAGAATCAGAATGCCTTCCCCGCCCCCTTCCAAGCGTAACATCCCGACATAAACTTCTATTTTACCATCAAATTATGATGTCCAGGGGACAAATGTTCAAAAACTCGCAAATTGTTGTAATTCACCTTTCTTTACGCATTCTCATCCACTGGTTTTAGTATGATTCCCTGGCTTACAAGGAACTTCATGAAAAAAGGAATATTTACAGATTTTGTCTGCGGTTCGCCGTTGAACGAACGGCACAACCGTCGAAGTTTCTTGAAGCAAACTGTGTGGTCGTTTAATTATAGAACTGGAGAATGCGAAAAGGTATGATCTGAGAGAGGAGATTTTCTAATACTTCCAAAGACGTTTCAAGACTTGAAGTGAAAACGGACTCTCTCGCGCTAATAGCCTTGGAAGGGGACTTCGAAGGAATAGCTGTGCAAAACCAAAAAGCTTTGCAATTTGATTCAAATGAAGGTAGTCACAGCAAGCCCTTCAGATGCCCCTCTGAGGACATCAGCGCCCGAATTTCTGTCAAAGATTTGGTTTTTTGTCAAATGTTTTATTTAGCGCGAGCACCCCGCAGGAGATGAGCAGTGGAACACATTTGCAAGCCAAGAACAATGTGTTGACTTTTGTGTAGGTTCGTTCAACGCTAATCATTTCATCAAGTGAATTTCTGTATTTTTCCCTGGCAAAATCATTGATAACGCACATTGCGACTCCTCAAAATTCACAGCAGATCGGCGGGTTCTTTATGGCAATATTTCAAGCTAAAATTTCACGAGCAGCCAGTCGAAAAAGGGGTTAGATTGATAGGTGACCGAGTTGCTGATCTCCACGCAACTAATTTCTCGTTTTGGAGATTGTCACATTCTAATGAATCCGTACGTCGCCAAAGTCAAACACTCGTTGTCCTTCTGGAAGTTAAAATCACTCCGATGTGGAGAGGAATGCACATATTCTTACCTTTTTTACGAATGTCATTCCGTTCAGTGTTCTCAGATGTACTGCCAAAATCAACCTAGTTACCAGTAAAACCAATCACGTCGAAGTTGTCCTTTTCAGGCACTTGCCCGAATGAGCTCGAACAGCATTACAATCCCGTCACCGGTCCAACCACAATTATGTGATGCAAAAGCCAAAACTGGCTGTCCACTCGGCTTTGAATGTGTGAAGACGTAGGTTTTAGAACTTTTACTGGTCCGTTAGGGAGTGACATTCAAAGGATTCCTTGTACTGAACTGGTACTGTCGTGACAAGTACTGTACTCCTCTCTGTTACGGTAATTCCAGCTCTGAACAAGGAGACCTTCGAATGCGTTGCGGCGGATTCATCCAACATTCTTTTCTTTTCGTTTCTGTTGCGCTTGGCATTCCCTTTTTCACTTTCCAATGAGTAACAATGATCTCTACCATTTAGGAGCCACTTGTGAGATTCTCCTGCATTTTTTGAATGTAACCACAATTTTCTCATTCAGTTCTCCCTTCGCGGCGATATGCTGCCGCACAACTCCCGTATGTCCTGCAGCTGAGTCCATTGCTCTAGTAGAGGCGAGTTTCCTCATTTGTTTCGCTGAACAAAGCTGGTCACGAAAGCTTATTGTGTTCAGATGTGTTATATGGATTTTGTTGTAATCAAATTATAGCGGATTAGTTTCACTATGATTCTAGAGAGTTTTTGAATTTTTGAAAGTTCCTAGATTTCGACGGCACATTTCGCTCATCGTATCGACGGAGCGGGACTTTCCATCGCACCTTGCCCCTTAGCACGCTCTTCTTCTTTCAGATCCTAAAACGCAGACACGAGAACCGAACGAGAATTGTATCAATAAAAGAAAGAAAGTCAATAGGATGCCGGCTCCGCCCATTCGACATGCGTGGAGCATGCCTTTGACGTGGAACCTCTGCAATAGCGAGAAGCTCAAGCTCTCTTACCTTTATACTGAAATACATGCATCTTGAATCAGAGGATTCACCAAAGATGGCTACGTATTTATCGCCTATATTTGCAAAGACACTTTGTAAAGGACGGGGCTCGAAATATGTGGGAAAGTGTATATCTGTCAGAAAGAATCGATTTCACTTGCGTAAATCGGAACACATGTTGTATTCCTGTATGGCAGAAGTAGGTAGTAGAAGCAGTAGAAGTGGAAGTCGCCTGACTAGTCTTCGATACGTCACGCAGTCTACTTCCATTTATACCATCTCACGCCTCCGCTTAGGCGGCCTTGGAAGTAAGGAAAGCATTTCTGGCTCTCTTTCTTCCTACGACATCATTTCCTTAACTCCACCTCACTGTCAAGTGCCGAAGTTGTACCGGGGTTAGGCTTGCAGTGGTTAGTATGAGGCTAACCATAAAAGATCACACGAACAATCTATGTTTCGTAGTAGTTTTTCAATCCCTGGATTATTTTTCTAGTTGAAAGGCAAGCTGACGTCATGCTTATCGCTGCTACACACATACCAGACACCGCGTCCCCTTTTTCGAAATTTATGAGAGGACGTTTCCTGCAGTGAGCCTCCTTTTGAAACGCAACTAACGGCTGTTCTTATTAATGTTTTCAGCGCTGTGCTTTATAT